CGGCTCTCTGCAAGCTACAAAATGATCTGTAATAGAGACTCAGTTACCAAACTTTATCAGAAGTTGTATTTTGATGTATCGATGAACATATTACAATATGGGCTGATTTGAGGTATATGAACATATTTATTTTTTGACTTTGATGGTCTTTTACACTATTTTTTCAATTTTAAGGGGTTTTGAGTTAATGAATGTCTCATCTGAGTACAGATTTGAATTCTACATCAAATTTTACATGAAAAAACATGGTTTAAAAATGTTCTCATATGCACCCCAAAAAAGCAGAGTAACAAGCAGAATATCCTCAAAACATAGAAATCCAACTTTGAGCCCCTGTAGATCCATGAGGGTTGGACTTAGGGGGTTGTGCTCTTTAGAATTTTCATTTTTCATTGTGTTCTTGAAGAGTAAATGGTTAGTTTCAACTTCATTTTTTGGGCCTGCATCACCTGTTGTGGAATAGCCCATTTGTATGACTGTATCATGTGTATTATTCATGTATATTGTTGCATGTGATAAACAAGATTAGTGATAATTGATCAATTTTGAGTGATTTTTTTTCCAACTATAGATCCAATGTTTTATGAATGTGAGTGAATAGGTGGAGGACTGAGTTCAAGTTCTAATGTGAGATTGTGTACATTTGTGTGAAAAGTTGATTTGGACATAATCAACTTAGTTACCAGTTTCCACATAAAACCCATATTAGCGTATACTAACATTTTAGTACAACTTATAAAATGTAGTGATAAAATTGTAGCATTTGGCGCTGTGTGTCGCTCTGGGATAATTGAACATTGGCCTTGTGGGTCTTATATGTTGAAAATTCAAGTTGAATTACTGTTTTTTATTGTCCAAAAAGTTTAAAGCAGCCTCAGTGATATGAGAGTATCATTATGACATAAATTGGTGTATTTTTGTTTTTTTTTAACTCTTGGGCAGTTACGTTTCATCTCAAAATTGCTTTGTTGCCGTAACTTTCCATGTGAACCGTTTGAGCAAATGAGCTGAAATTTTCAGGGATTGTTCTACATGAGAATGGCTACAAACGCAAGCACTTTCAAAGGTATTGGGAAAAATGAGCACTTTTTTCAGGCTATATTGTAGCATAATCTGTCATTTTATCATATATATTAATGAATAAATGTGTATTTGTGGCTGGCAAATTGTGTATAACTAATTAAAAAATCTGAAAGGGCTTGCGTTTGTAACTACACATCTAATGATCAAAATGAGACCCCAATGACCATGATTGAACCATCGGTTCTAGCGGGAACCGGGCTACCTGTCAGGACTGTGGGCTTGCTTCATCGAGGAAGGTTCTATGGTGACTGGGACCTCAATTTACATTTACCAAAGTAAAAAACTTTTGAAAAAGAGTGAAAAATACAGAGTTTTCTCTGTTTATTCCAAAAAAAAAATTGTTTTTCTTATTTCTAAAAATTTTTTTACAAATGTAGGTTTAAGGTACGTTTCCCCCCTCAATTGGCTTATTTAAGGTAGGCAGGTAAATTGGAAATAAAGAGACACTAGTGTGTTGCGGGACATGAACTTTTTAATCTTATGGAAATTTATACCTTACGAGCTATGCTATAGTAGCTTGAGATTATTGGCTTCCGACGGGCGAGTTACAATGGTGATAAGGACCGCTGGCGACTCCGGCGGAAGCTGATAGTAGACGGCCAAACTCCCGATGACGAAGTAGACGAGGCCTTGTTTATTGTCCCTAAACTTGATCAGCGAAACTGCCGATGACCGATAGTAGAGGCGGCGGCTTAGTTCACTCGAACTGCTAGCGACTAAGCCCAACTCAGCTTTCCGAGACCGAGTCCAAGTAGGCTTTCAGAGACTAAGTCCCCTTAAGCTCTCAGAGACTAACAAGGAGAGCGTTTCAGGTCCGGGTCACAGATCTTTACCAAACTTTTTTGGGGGTCTTCTGGTACTCAATACTGAAGCTCCCTTAGGGCCCATTTTTTAGAGGATTTTCCACATTATAAATAAATCTATGTTATTTTCTATATCGATATAGAAGTACTGAAACGAAAAAATGCAACGATCAAAAGTTTTAAAACTTTTCAAAGAATCTGCTTGAATTTTTTCATAATTTTTGGGACCATCCATCACTTAATTCAAGAGGCTCAAATTTGACGCCTTTTTAATAGATTTTAGGACTTCTTAAAAAGAGTGGTAGATGGTCCCAAAAATTCTGAAAAAATTTAAGCAGATTCTTTGAAAAAATTTAAAACTTTTGATAGTTGCATTTTATTGTTTGAGGAGAGTCATACACCAATTCACTCTTCCTTGCCATTTTTTTTATATAAACCACAGTTTTATGTCAATCTACATTTTCTACATAAAATTGACATCTTTGAGCCCTAAAAAATGTGAAAAAAATTGCAGAATAGGCCTTTGCATCTAAACGAAGTTCATTTTTGCTATTTTAGCTTTTTGGCACTGTGCACAAGGTTCAGATCAGAGTTTTTGGGTTAGAAGATCCTGATAGGTCTCAAAATCTTTTGAAAAGTATCCTTTATGGGCTGAGTTTTGTGGAATTTTGATTAGAGTTATAAAAAAGTTTGTATGCCAAAAGATGTGAAAAAAGCAAGATATAAAAAAAAGTTATCAATGTTTTTGAGCACACATTGAACAATAGAACTGATATGGAGGCCTCAACCACTTTAGATAATTTCCCAGATTTTTTTTACGCGTTTCCTCAATGGTTAAAATGGCATTTTTCCAAAATTTTATCCAAAAAAGCAGGGAAATGGTCGATTTGCAGTGCTTACTGCAATCAATACCACGACTTGACGCATGATGAAAATCATAATGAGGAAACAACAAAAATCATAGGAGAGTCTGACCTATCACACATCGAAGGTCATTCGCTGTCAGTAAAAGAATCCAATAAAGATTTGCTCAGATAAATCTGAAGTACTAATCAAATCAGTCAACTAATGACAACTTCAAGTATACCCCAGGAAATAAACAGAAAAAGAACACCAGAACGCTCAAAGAGCTGAAACAATACGAGATGAAGACGACAAAGATAATTTACAAAAACATCGTAACAAGAAGCACAAAATGTCCGAGCAAAAAATTACATTGAAAGAATTGAAAGAGAACGCCAATAAGGCAGTTAAAAAAAGCTCGCTATAAATAGCAATATTGTATCTCAATTTCTGTTTGATATTTATGGGAAATCAGACATTGAAGATATTTTAAGAAATGTTACTTGCTCAATAAGTATGAACTCTACGAAAAATTTAAAAAGAACAAAAAAGTCTTAGAATTTGTCGAGGAAAGCGTATAAGTTTTTTCAGATTTTTTCTAGACATATGCCCGAATTTGTAGGTCAGGTTCTGAGGGAACTACCTTAACAGCATACAGTCCTGTATAATGATTATAGCATGCCACAGATCTCCAGGAAGCAACTTGACACGAGAGCAATGGGATAGGATTGCAAAAAATTTTACTAGTCGGCCGACATTGTTGGAAGGTGACTTAAATGCTCACAATACTATATGGAATTGTGACTGTAAAAGTGCAAACGGAAAGAGATTGGAGAACACAATTAAAAGTTATGATCTTTATTTGAATAATGATAATAAGTCAAATTTTATAGATATTCATAGAAATTATGTCTCCAATCTCGATCTGGTGTTAAGTAAGATGTCTCTTGACGACAAAATTAATATTTCTTTGTCCGACGAAACCTGCGAATGCCCTCACAAACGGAGCAATGTTCTCGCTTGAGCTCGGCAGTACGCGGACTGAGCGAGCTACTTGTGTGTGGGCCGCAGAGAGGGGGAAGCACGAGCGTCCGCATGCGGAGCTGCGCAGCGAGGTCGAGTCATTAACTGCTCGATTGAGATATCGATCGGACAGTGACCCAAATTTCAACGCGCAAGCCGAGAAACATCCGTTCGAGATCGTAAACGTAGTCGAGTATTCATAGTTCGAGATTTCACATGTTAAACTTGATTTTATCCAAAGAAATCGTGATTTAAAAAAAAAAAAAATTTTTAATTTGTTGATTTTCCAAATGGAAATCATTTGAAATCTCAGGGGTTTTGTGCAAATATTGCGTCCTTCATATCTAAACTAAAAGTTAGCAGGGTTCCGATTGAAAAAATTAATGTTTAAACAAAAAATGGCCGTCAAAACAACATTATTTTATTCAATCTAAACCTTGCTAACTTTTAGTTTAGGAATTGAGGACGCGACATTTGCACGAAACCCCGTATAAAGATACTCAAAAATGATGTCTTAAAGATGTTTTTAACACTGCGTGCGCGAAACACGGGCTTTCTAACCTTAAATCGTCAGAAAACCTTAGTTTCTCCCAAGCAGAGTTAAAAAATATCGTTTGCAATTAGTCCGCGAGGAAGTTGACTCACCCAGGAGTCTTTGCAAACAACTCCTGGATGAGTCAACTGCTTCGCGCACTTGTAACAAAATATACTATTTAGTTTTTGAAGCTCCTAATATCAACATAATACCAATTCCTAGATGGTCCTGATAAATAACGATACTGTTCGATGCTAACGATGCTGCGTATTTGATGCTGTTATGAGGATATTTCATTTTTCTACAATTTGCCTGTGACGACAAACGCCTAAATAAACACCTAAATTTGAAACTAATACTAAGTCTTTGCGTGTTTGACTGACTCAGCATTAAGTGATGAGGGTATGGTGTTCATTTATTTTACTCTAAAAATTTCCTTAGGCAATCATAAAAAATACATAACATTTATACAGGCTCATGAAAAATAAAAATGTTATTTCGTAAAAACATTAATTTTGTATAAAAGTTAATGATGAAACCTTGTTAGCATCTGATATGATTCAAATGATATACATAATTAAAACCCATGTGAGCTATTAAATCTCATAATAAACGATCTTATTTTTAATAGTTGATTAATACATAAGCTTTTGCATGATATTGTCTTAAAATGAAAAAGAAAAATGTTGTAAAATACTTTCTTTCCTTTTTAGAAGCTGACTACACTTTAGATGATTCGTTTTGGAATGAAGAGACTCCTGCTGGTAACTGTTTGCATTTACTTTATGCTTAATTTTTTGAAAGTTTTTAGAATATGGTCCTGTAATCTAATGAGTTTCAAATTTTTTATTACTTTTTTGTAAGGGTGATTAGCGAGTGTCGAATAGAATAGTGCCTTGATAAAAATATTGTATCACAAAGAAAAATCGGAGGCTTAAGAACTGTTATATATGGTACCGCATTTACTAGAGACATGAAGGGAATTCATGATCTGTTGGTCCTCTAGTTCTTGGGATTGGAGGTGAAATAATGAGCACGAGGTTAAATTGAACTTTCTTTATTCAAATATTTGTCGTGTTGCACGTTTCGAAAAGATTTGCCCGTTCCCTCCTCTCTGCACGTAACATCAAGAGAAGATTCAAATTTTTGTAACAAATGCTTGTAATGATTTTTAACAATGGCGCTGTAAAACGGCGTCATACTGATTCCACATTTGAAGGGGGTACCTGGGTGGTAACGCTTTTCGTTCTCTAACGGCTTTGTTTTCACGAATGTATGTTCGCTAAGATAATTAGTCAAAATTAAAATTAAATTTATACTCTTATGTATGCATGTTCTCGTATTAAAACTAACATTGAAAAAACGGGCAACTGGCTGAAATTTTTCCGGAATTGCATCAAAGAACGTGTTACTTGGAAGACTGTTTCATATGCTTCTTGCGTTTTACTCGACAGAAGAGAATATAGAAATGGAAGATCTATATTCATTTTGACGCCACGAACCAGTTGCTGTACAGATCCCATTATCAAACAGTTAATAAAAAATATTGGGAGCTGTTTTAAATGTTCCATCGAAATACCAGATGCGGCTTCTTGCTAACAAACTTAAATTTTCTCTTGTTAAAAATAATAAGATGCGGTTCCCTTTGTCGTTGTCGTTTCCGTTTTTGAATGACTCGTAAATCAAAAACAGTTCTCCCACCTTGGAATTACGAAAACGTTCAGGAATATCGAGTAGCTCATCCAGGTTACGGGAATTGGATGGCATTTTTCTCTTAAGCTCGCACTGAATCACTTCATTAACGTTGGCTCGATCAGGAAACTCTGCTAACACAGTAGACGTCACGTCCTGTAACCGTCGTAAAATTTGTGAAGGTGGTACATCAGGATGATCAGATGCCTTTTTCTTGATGTCAGTTAGCATATTCAATGCTGCAACAGCCTCACGATTTAGAGCATGAGTTGGGTGATCCTGTGAAAGCCCACCTGTTTTAAGACTGAGCGATTCACCACCCCCAGTAGTTGTAGCTCACGCTCTGCACGAATATATTTTTCTGCACCTCTAATAGCGTGTGGTATTTCTTTCATTGGAATGCTTATAATATATATAGCCGTCTATGTGTAAAAAAGATGAATTTCACAAGCTTTGCCTCTTCCACGGGCTCGGGGAGACACCACCGCTCAGGCACGCCGAGTACACCCGCAAGAAGGTATCCGGGCGCAGGGCAACGGCGAACTTGAGAGCCCTGTTTGGTACACCATCGGGTCCGGGTGCTGCATCATTCCGGATCCTGGCGCAGGCTCCTCGCAGCTCCTCCAAGGAGACGCCAGGGACTACGGCACCGGCAGGTCCCGCTGGAGGCCGGATCAGCGCCTCGGTCACCGTCGGGAACAGCGTGGCGACTGTCCGATGTACCCGAGATGGTTCTCTTGGAGGCGTCACCCTGGGGCCCCTCAGGCGCGACATGACCGTCCCGTATGGCCGGCCCCACACGTCCCAATCGACCTCGTCGCAGAGGGCGCTCGAGCATCGGCGCTTGCTCTCCTCGATTGCAGCGCGCAGTCGGCGTCTCGCGATGACGAAATCAACGCGTCGAGCATCCTCCACGGGCCGTCCCTGCGCTATTTGGGCAAGTCTGCGTGCTTGCAGGTACTGCCGATGAAGGGCGGCGATCTCGTCTGTCCACCAGTAAACGGGCTCGCGGCGGTGGCGGCGCCCTCCGCTGGACATCGACGCGCCGCAGGCCTCGGTGATGGCGGAGATAAGGGCACCCGCCATGTCCTCCGGTCGCTCGGGCGTCGCATGAGGGATCTTCGCACCGGACAGCCGCTCGGAGAAGACCTCCTCATCCAGTGTGCGGGCGTTCCATCTCGGTCTCGGGCCCGCCGAGCCTCTGTGAGGTCTATGATCGCTCAGGTTGAAGGTGATAGCTCGGTGGTCGCTGTTCGTGACGACTCCCCTCTCCACTCGCCATCCCGCCACTCTGGGGGTGAGCGAATCGCTGGCGAAGGAGAGGTCGATGATGGAGCTGCCCTGCGGACCAGTGAAGGTCAGCGTGTGTCCGGTGTTCATCAGCACGACGTCCAGGACGGAGAGCGCGTCAAGGAGAGTGACGCCACGAGGCCATCGTGTGTGACCAATACATGTTGTGATGTTGATACGAAAAATAGTTTAAAGATGTACATATAGAGTGTGCATTGGATTTTTTCCAATATTGAAATTCATTCAATAAGCATAGGATCTCGTCTTAACCCAAAGCGAATATAATTCAAAAGAATGAAAAATATCGCAAAATAGCGCACGAGTTAATAATCGAATAAGAGCTCGAAATTTTCTGAAAAGTGAAAATTCTGAGTTTGAACTATTGTAGTACGGCCCAAAACCTTTCCGAATCACCGGACAGAATTTGGTTAAAATTTTTTCCGCGAAGATCTCGTAGCTGACACAAATGCAATGATTTCTCACGCAAATGGAAAAAATATCGCAAAATAGCGCGAGTAAAGAGGGCAATGAAATATCGTTTTTGTTTTTCGGAATTACTGAGAGTTCAGTTCCTGTATCAATCAAAATTATCAATAAAAAAGTTTGATCCTAAATGAAGAGGCGTTTGGAGCTTGAAGTGCTCGGAACAATTGCTTCACAGATGTTCAGGCTACTTAGTTTAACTTTCTTGACTCGCACCATTCCTTTTCATATTTAGGAACAGCACAAGGTGGGCCTGAGCAATTCTCGGCTTTCTCTCTGTACCTGTAGTGATAGTAGTAGAGATCTTTATGTGATCCAAAGTTCATCCTCATTTTTTATTTAGAACGTTCAGTTTTATCCTTCTTTTTAACAGGACGAGATTTTCTCGAGTTGGTTTTGGCTGAGATTGTACAAATCACCTTCTCTGAAATACTAGTGACAAAATCTTTTGAGAAAGGTGCACTGATATGAGGCGAGATGGAAGCAATTTGTGTGTAGCCTAAAGGTTCAAGACGCTCATGCAAATGGTCAGTCTCAGCAATGGTTTATAGTGCATTTGAGCTGGTAATAGCTTAATCAAGCTGGACACCAAGTTTATTCGAGCGTGCTTTAGGCCAAAGGAAAATAAGGTGTTATCTGGTATGTCCTCGAGCAAGAGCCTGTATTTCTGTAAAAAGTTCTGAGGATTTTTTTGTTAGAAAGAGTGCAATCACGAAAGAGTTGATTTATATTCTTTTGAACTGACTGAAAGGATTTTTTATTGGATGATCTTTAAATGTCCCATATTTATTGTCAACAAGAAGAAAACAAATAATAGGAGAAATCGATTTACAAATGCCAGGTGTCAGCGCCTTGAGCAGAGTAAAATGTTTTATATAGTCATCCATAATGTTGAGCAAGTGAAGTTTACTTTCAAAAAGAATGAACCACAGTGCTGGATCATGTTGAAAAAAGGAGGAACTGTTACCTATCTGTTCCTGTATGCCGCATTTGCAAAAGTAGCCTGTGGGTATGGTGCTTCATTATGAATAGTCTGAGCGTGACTAAGGCTAAGAGCGGTTGCTGCAGATAAGGGGTGTATCCTGAACCACCTGAGTGGCAGGGGTGTTCAGGAACTGTTGACAGAAAAGTTGGAGCTTGTGTACTATGCCAAGATGGTACTTGCGTCTATATTTTCTTTGACTCCTGTTACCCCGTCTCCTATCGGCTGGGCGCGTGGCAGGAATTCGTTCGTAAAACCAAGTTTTTTGATACTCAATTGTTCATAACTTTTGAATCGTTTGAGTCTTCAACTTGAAATTTGTTTTTTAAATCTTCGTTATTAGATTACCAATGGATTGAGATATCTATGAATAAAATCGAAATGGGTATACTTGCCGAAAAATTGAGTTAACTTTGAAGTAAATTTTCTCAATGAAAATTAACTTTTTTTAAAAAACTGATACACCCATTAGAAAGAACAGACAAAAATCAATCAAGATGCATATGCGCAATATTTTTTCAGGCCTAATTGCATCGGCCATGGCGAGTTACAAAAGTTGCGATGCATTAAAAAATGCCCCGCGCGAACGCATTGTCTGGTTAAGCGTGAAATACGTCATATACGTGTTGCCAGGTTAGTGCCTGAATGATAATTAAATGTCCAAAAATATTAGATCCTGCGCAGCGTACTCAATGCTTGTTCCGTTAAAAAAGAGATACATATCATCAGTGTGGAGCGTGATCGATGCATCGATGCTTACTTACATTCTTGAATATTCGAGATTTTTCAAATTCCATTCCATCCCATTCCATCAAATCAATGTTTCAGTATAATAGATATACGTGCTGCTAAGTCAGTATCTCAGCCATGACCAAGGCTTATGAGCATTGTAAATATGCCAGGCAAAGCATGACAACGTGTTCATCATAAAAAAGAACTACTTCTGTATAATAGTTATTATGCGTATCATCAGTCTAGAGCCTGTGCGTTACATCAATACAAACGTACATCACTCGCACTTCCCGAGATATGGCATAATTTACACATCTCCATGTTCATGTTTATAGCATATCCACGCCGCATCAGGAAAGTGCCGAAACAATCTGTCAATATTTACGCGATTTCCGTGTGTATGAAAAATTCAGAATTTGATCCGAGCAAGCCTATGGTCTTTACGGACAATTCGTGTCCCCAGGTCATATGACATTGACAGGCTAGGACCTGCAAAATGCATGAAATGTTTATCAGATAAATGTCATACTATTAATTAGGCTACTGCCAATGCAATTCATCATTTTTTACCTGGATATTGCCCGGAAAGAGCCTAGTACACGTGTAAAATACTCACGTATAATGCGTGTAGCTAGGTCAATGCTTGCGCAACGTTAAAATTTTTACGTACATTGTATTATGGAAGTGATGATTTTAACGTGATATTTATTCAATAAGCGTGCAGAGAATCTCACAAAATCGAGGCTATAAGGCAAAGTTATGGTAACAGATTTATAGTTATTGGGCTACATATCATTGATATTGACCCTCTTAGGTCTCTGCTTCTAATAATGCACACGCTTATCAACATATATCTCTACAAAATGATCAGGGTAGACATTTTTATGCAAAATATCACAAACAGCACTTATATGATACAATTTTAATTCTTACCTTTACGCGCCCGAAATATGAATTCATTGAGATTATTTCAGTAGTGGACGCTGTACGACTTACCATTTTTACCTACACAGGCGTAGCCTGAACTGCAGGATTATTAATTATTTAACTTTTTAGCGATTGTTAAAAACTAATACGTATTCTCTTTTTGGAAAACTCGCGGGAAGTTATTTTTATTATATCTGATTGAAACGGAGCATCTGAAAGATGATTTTTCTATGTTCAATCGTAATATTTATTATTTTTTAAAAAAACGAACGAAACTTATTACGATTGAACATGGAAAAATCATCTTTCAGATGCTCCGTTTCAATCAGATATAATAAAAATAACTTCCCGCGAGTTTTCCGAAAAGAGAATACGTATTAGTTTCTAACAATCGCGAAAAAGTTAAATAATTAATAATCCTGCAGTTCCGGCTACGCCTGTGTAGGTAAAAATGGTAAGTCGTACAACGTCCACTATATGATACTTATGGAATCACAAATCAAAAAGTAGCAAAGCTCTATTTACCAAATTATAAATGGTGTCAATTTTAAGCTTTATCGGGTGTTGACATGTAAAATCAATCGTTCTCTCTGAAGAAAAATCTTCCCTATACTAATCAGTAACGATATCCATACTAATCCTAGTAAATCTAACATTCAAGAAGCTAAGGCAACTATTCACAATTCACATCGATGTCAGGCAGGAATTTTTATACCTATTATGACTATTGAATACCTCGAGAATGATATTAATGTGCTCAACATTTACACGAGCAAAACCATTATCCACATATCTATACGAAAACAAAGGTACAACACCAAACTAGCTCTGCAGCATGGTTGCAAATTTTTTTAATTGACAATTAACAAATTAACAAATTGAATTTAATTGATTAATTGATCCGAGTTCAATTAATCAATTAAATGTAATGGATCAATTGATCAGAGTTCAATTAACAAATTGAATGTAATTTCTTAAGGGCTCAAAGGGGGCTTAATGGGACACACCTGTGTTTATGTCTATAAAAGCAATAACATGAAAATTAAGGATTAATATCAAACTTTTTGGTTAATTCTTATGTTAAAATATGTTTTTACAGGTCCTTTTACAACAAAAAATATGTCTGTAGTTCCTTTTATTATTAAAATTCATCCAGGATTCATATATATTGAATTGTATTTTTTAAGTCCTTGACCGCATCATTTTGAGAACAACAATTATTCAATTGGATTCCTTTAGGTCTCAAAAGTTTTGTAATTTAATTCCTTTCCACTTAAGTGTAGCAGAATTTCAAGAAAAGGCTTGGAAATTTTTATTCATATAAAAGTATAAAGAAAATGACAAAAATAGCTATTTTAATAACGCTTATTGCTATATTTGGAGATGAGTAGATTAAAAAAATAACTAAATAAAAAATCTGCTACACTTAAGTGGAAAAGAATTTAATTACAAAACTTTTGATACCTAAAGGAATCCAATTGAATAATTGTTATTCTCAAAATCATGCAGTCAAGGACTTAAAAAATACAATTCAATATAATATATTGAATTTTTTGTAGTAAAAGGACCTGTAAAAACATATTTTAACATCAGAAACAAAAAATTTCAATATTAATCCTTAATTTTCATGTTTTTGCATTCATAAACATAAACACAGGTGCGTCCCCTTAAAATCGAAAAAATTTTTATTTCATTTTCGAGTAAGATTTTTTATCCCCTTTCCATTGCATTTTTCGAAACTTCAAAATTTTGATCATTCACTGAGATACAGCTGTTTCCGTGAGCCATTTTCGTATACTTTGCGTGTTAAATTTTTTCTTCTTTTGCATTTTCTGGCGTTTTATGTTTTTACAAAGTGCACCTCAACTGTCGTAACATTCGAAAGGGTATTGGCCACTATATCCGCCTTTAGTGAATGTTAATTTTAGAATTCCCTATAAATTTGGATTTCTTGTTTTTTGGATATTTTTATTTGGAACTGAATAATTTTGGAATTAAAAATTCTTGGGACTAATAATTTGGGACTTTTGCATTGGAACTTTTGTTTTGGGACTTTTGTACTTATACCCTCCAATCAATCGTACTAATAGCGTAGTGATGTACCTCATACCTGCGTGAGCTTGTCGCTCGAGCTCACCACTGCAAAAAAACCAACTCACCAAACGGCACGGCTCAGCAAACCTGCACTCGGACGAAAACCACTCCCGAATGAGTCATCTTCTTCACACACTTATTACATAATATACTATTTTCTTAACACCGCAAAAATTATTAGTTCTGTTTTTATTTTTCATAAAAATTTTCTGAGGTACTTAGATAGTCATGTTCACCCTTCATTATGTCTTTATCGCAATTCCTTAACGGTAAGATGACTAAAAAAAATCGTAAGCTTGATTTTTTTCAAAAAATTTTTTTTTTGAAATGACTAAAATCAACATTTTGAGATCAGTTTTTACAAGGGTGTTAAATTTTAAATCGAAATAGATGCATGCAAAATGTTTTTGAGGCTTGAAACTACGGAAACCGTCGTTAAAGGGAAAATTCATAAGTGTTTTCAACTCTTTTTTTAAACTTAAGTATTAATTGTGCATTTCTGAGTTGAGAAAATATAATCAATACCGTTAATTTAATAATGATACAGGTGAGGTGGAGCGTCTTTTGCGACAATACCAACAAAACGAAGAATTGGTAAAAAATATAGGAGCACACTTTTACCAGATAATATATCCAGTGCAATTAAGACACCACGAAAAAATGGGAATATCTACTAGGGAAGCGGGGACTCCTCGGGTAAGTAACACGCATTCTATTCTTAAAATTAAAAAACCGCTGCCAATTTATTGGTAAAAAGCTTCCTTATAAAGATGTTATTTTTATGTTTAAAAACTAATATAAATAAACCAAACCTTTATTATTAATAAATTATTTATAAATATCCAATTTGAACTATTAAAAAAAAATTTTACATAGAGTACATTGCAGTACTGACAAGGAGACCGCCCGACTTCTGGGTCATGGATTTGCTCCAACATTTTTTTAGGGTGTCCTAGTACCCAATACTGAAGCTCCCTGTGCTTAGTTTGATCTCATGGGCCTTAGGGCTGATTTTTTAGAGGATTTTCCACATTATAAAAAAATTTTAGTTATTTTCTATATCGATATAGAAGTTCTTAAGGGGAGGCTCTCATCTAGCACCTAAAAAATGACGTGTTTTTCGTGATGTTTTTTTTTCGTGGAAGAAAGTGAATAATGCAGTCAAGTTTTTTGGTACTTATAGAGTATGTATTTAACTATATTTAAAAATTTTTTCAGACCAAAATATCGAATTATTTATCGCCTAGCAGCGTTTGATGGAGGTCGTGTTAAAAAAAGATACCTCAACAGCCGCCAAGCTAGCGCCTTCAGTTTTTGCCCGAAATTAAAAATGCGAAGTTCCTCTTAAACTAGATGACATTTGTTGGAGGTTGAACTCAAATGATTGCAAAAAAATTAAAAATTGATAAAATGGCGGACTTCGGAGAAAAAATATCTTTTTTGCTCTTTTTTGGCTCTTTTAACCCTTTAACGCCCTAAATTGCAATTTTGCGCATAAATGTTTGATCGATTGAAAACCATAGATAAAGTTGATGTTTTTTCTCAAAAACTCATACTCAGGGGTTTTGGGGTGTGTTCTTTCAGAATCCGGTACTATTTTTGCAAAATGTTAACAAAATCATTGTTTATTATGCAAATGAAAAAAAAAACGTGATTTTTCGACTTGAAAATTTTTTTAAAAGTCGATTTTCAACCTTTTCCTGCTCTCGGAGGGCTTTGGAAACCCCAAAAGTCATGCAATTTTGCTATAAACCTTCGAGAAAAATATTATCGGGATTTTCATCTAGACCCTTTGCTTCTAAAATGGCGGATTTAGACCATGCAGCTGTATCAAACTTCATCAATTTTTTTCTCGACAACCGTAAGCTTGACGGAAAATTTTCGTAGGACAAAAAGGGTTTGAAATCTTTCAGAAAATACGTGTGAATTTTTTCAGAATTTTTTGAAAATATTTTTGATTTTTCAAAATTCGATTATTTTGCAAAATATTCAAAATTCATCCGAAAATTCTGAAAAAATTCACACTTATTCTTTGGACGATTACAAACACTTTTTGTTCAATAAATTTTTTTTCTAAAGTCAATAATGAGCGAGTAAAGTATTTTTAAGTATACAATCAGAAAAATACTTTACGAATTTTGTACTCGCTCATTATTGACTTAAGAAAAAAAATTTATTGAACAAAAAGAGTTTGTAAGTGTCCAAAGAATAAGTGTGAATTTTTTCAGAATTTTCGGATGAATTTTGAATATTTTGCAAAATAATCGAATTTTGAAAAATCAAAAATATTTTCAAAAAATTCTGATAAAATTCACACGTATTCTCTGAAAGATTTCAAACCCTTTTTGTCCTATAAAAATTTTCCGTCAAGGTTACGGTTGTCGAGAAAAAAATTGATGAAGTTTTATACAGCTGCATGGTCTAAATCCGCCATTTTAGAAGCAAAGGGTCTAGATGAAAATCCCGATAATATTTTTCTCGAAGGTTCATAGCAAAATTGCACGACTTTGGGGGTTTCCAAAGCCCTCCGAGAGCAGGAAAAGGTTGAAAATCGACTTTTAAAAAAATTTTCGAGTCGAAAAATCACGTTTTTTTTTTCATTTGCATAATAAACAATGATTTTGTTAATATTTTGCAAAAATAGTACCGGATTCTGAAAGAACACACCCCAAAACCCCTGGGTATGAGTTTTTGAGAAAAAACATCAACTTTATCTATGGTTTTCAATCGATCAAACATTTATGCGCAAAATTGCAATTTTGGGCGTTAAAGAGTTAAGGCCTGCACAAAGTAATAATAATGAAAAAATTTAAAATTTTATAGGTTCACCTCCAGACAATTTAATTAGCTTTTTAAAAAAAAAAAAAAGTGTACCTTCCAGTGTAAAAGTGTAAAAGTCCAGTAATTTTCGAGATATCTTGCTGTCCGATTGAGAAAACATGGTTTCGAGAAAGACGCGTTTAAAGTTTTAGAAAGTGAATGTACATACATACATACATACATCGTTCTCTCGTAAAAAGACAGCTTCTGTTTTTTACCTATACCTTTTCAACTAAATTCATTTTGGTAAAAAGGGTTTCGGGGATGTATTCTATGGGATATTGGTTCACTAAGTAAGCAAAAAAAATCGATTTTTTGATCGAGTCTCCTGAGAGCCTTACCTTAAACAAAAAATTCAACAAACAAAAGTTTTAACATTTTTCAAAGAATCTGTTTGAATTTTTTCAGAATTTTTGGGACCATCTACCACTTTCTCTAAGAAGTCCTAAAATCTATAAAAAAAGCGTCAAATTTGGGCTTCTTTAATTAAGTGATCGATGGTCCCAAAAATTCTGAAAAAATTAAAGCAGATTCTTTGAAAAATTTTAAAACTTTTGATTGTTGCATTTTTATTAACCCATATCGACCTCACGACGTACACAGCAACCGCCAAGGTGGAGGCAAATTTTGATGTATATAAGCTACGAGAAAAGAGGATCAATTCTCCTTCTTATCTACGAAATCGTATACTACGTACTAATCAAGCTCTGCGGTTCGTGACCTGCTCGAGCTATCAGATGTATCGAGCTGTGGGCTACGTACCTAGGTACTTTACAATACGTTTAACGTCCGCAAGCGGGATCTTAGGTGAGGCAGGGCAAAGAGTCGGATGTGGCATAAGTGATGTGAATACACTGATTTTGATTTGAATTGCTCTATTTATTATGACGTACGTCCGCTTCTCGGACGCTCGTTCACTGCTCGCCTTGCAGACACGTGAACTATATTTTCGCCCGGTGTGCTCCTCGGCTTTTCCGCACAAGTGGAGTGCCAGGCGATTGCAAAGTCGCCGCCGACGAGCGACACAAACACTTTCTTTTCTTCGCGACTACCTGACTGGCTAGCACAGGTACCCCGAGACTCGCTAAGGGCAACGCAGGTTCGTTGCAGCTGTAGGTTTGCTCGCACGCGCCAATGTCTGCCTATCTCCGCGTTCCTACCTACTTTGCGTACTCCACTAAGCCCTGAAGACTCTACACGCGTCCGCAAGGCCATGAGGCCGATTGTGCCGAAGCACGGGTCGCCTGGGGGTCTTGAGGCTGCGTCGCGCCAAATCCGGACGACGAAGTTATTCACCACGTCTCCGTTCACACTCACACGCTCACACACTCTAGTACTCGCTAGCGTATCGTCGAGCCGATTCACGCACCCGACGAGGCTACTCGCTGACACACCTATGCCCCATGCGACCACACACGCATCACAACGCTCACACACAATCACACTCAGCAAAATACTCTTACTCACAAAAACTCTGGTTAGCGTACTCAATTAAGTTACGAATTACAAAAAGGTTTTCTAGGCTTTTGCTTCGAATTTGGGCTGCTATCGACTCGACGTCACTGTGCCCCCTCTCTACGTCATATTATTTATATCCCGAAGAGCGGGCCAGGATGTGATTGAACCTGACTTTTTACACGGTCTTATTTCATTACATCTCTCACCGATTTTTATACCAAGAATATGCTAATTTGTGTAAGTGCCACATTGTACTACCACGACTCCCTACTGTGCGTACATCAATACATACCACACAACATTCACAGAGATGGAGTCACTGAGATCGAGGCTTAACTCCAAGAATGCTGATTTTAAAGACCATCTCGATGAGAGCTTTGAATAGATGACAGAGTTTATAAAGGGTCGGAAAAATCTTCATAAGCCAATGCGTGGCAATAATGAAAAAGGCCAAAGCGATTTTCAGGGTAAATCTTAATTCCCTTGAAAACGTGTTGCAAATTCTTGGCTTGAACACAACAAGAAGAGCGACTTAAAACTCACCGGGACTGGCAAATCAAATTGCAGAAAAAAGTCACAAGTAAAGAAGCAGGATGAAGCAACAATGCTCCGTTGCTGAACCTCAAGACCTCAAAGGCGAGATTCTGCTAGATGCAGTCGTGACCCAAAACGTCTTCCTGCTTAACACAGGTTTGGATCGAACATTCGTTAATCGCACCCTCGCCAGTTATATGCTCTCCAGGCAAGTCCTGGCAGGTCAGTGACGCCTACACTGTTAGCGATGATTGGGCTACAGTGTTTAAAATCTGTTCATCAAAGAACTGACGCTCTTCGGCAGGCTGACGTAGATGGAGTACCCTAGGGTGGAGCGAAAAAAAAATTTTTTTTCGCCCGACCCTTAAAAAGTTGCAAAATGATGCGAGGAATCATCCCCCGAAAGGATTTTGAATATAAATGACCTTTAAGGGTGGTAATCTTGATTTGAAGGTCGGAATTTTAAAAATCGTGAATTTCTCACGAATCGAACAAAAAATACTTCGTATTAGTTTAGTATTACATCCGAAACTTATGAATAGCCTCAAATGTTCTAATACGCGAGTGGAAGGGGCTAAACCATTTTCCGTCGACCTGGTGCACCAGGTTTCCGATACAGGGCTGGTTAAAACTTCTCCAGGATCTTTCTTTTTCTAGGGGTTGTAAAAGGTGAGCAGAAAAGGCTTGATTGCGTCCCGTCGACCTAGTGCACCAGGTCTCCGATACAGGGCTGGTTAAAACTTCTCCAGGATCTTTTTTTTTCTAGGAGTTGTATAAGGTGAGCAGAAAAGGCTTGATTGCGTCCCGTCGACCTGGTGCACCAGGTCTCCGATGCAGCGCTGGTTAATATTTCTCCAGGATCTTTTTTTCTCGCGGATTTTAAT